TATTCATATACTATTGATGGGAATATAAATTGATTTAATTACTTTGGTTTAACATCTTCATATCAAGTTAGACAGTCTATAAAGAAAAAATTCCAACTGTTAGTACCCTAGAGAAATAAATGCATACCAGAAGAAATAAACAAGAACACTTATCAAATTATCTATCAGCAAAAAGTTGAAAAAGTTTCAACTTTCAATGACAACAGAATGACTACATTGATAGCCATTCATTAATGAAATACTATAGAAAATTACTCAAATATTATTAGACTAGAGATGAGTGAGCTATAGCACTTGCAAGCTTTTTAAAAAACAATGTGGAATAAATGACAAGTGATTAATATTAAAATGCTCAAACACAAGCAAAACTATACAATGTTATTATGGAAACATAATTTTAAAAACTACATTATTTTTTATTTTATTTTTTTTTTTTTTTTTTTATAAATTTTATGTTATATTCCCATACAATTGCGCCCCCCATTCTGACCCCAATCCCTCCCCTCCCGCCCCGCCCCCTAAAGTGTCTCTGGTTCATAGTTTTTTGTTGATTTTGATTTTCACTTTCTTATAGTTTTCATTTTCCTGGTCCCTTATTTAAGTTTTCTATTCCTGCTATGAGTGAGACCATCCGGTATTTTTCTTTTTCTTTTGGCTTATTTCGCTGAGCATGATCCCTTCCAGCGCCATCCATGTTGCAGCAAATTGCATGTGTTTATTTTTGAATGCTGAGTAATATTCCATGGTATATATGTACCACATCTTCTTGATCCAGTCATCTATTTTTGGGCATTTGGGTTGTTCCAAGCTTAGCTATTGTAACAGTGCTGCTATAAACATAGGGGTGCAGGTGTTCTTTGGAGTTGATGTTTCTGTGTCCTTTGGGTAAATACCTAGGAGTGAATTGCTGGGTCATATGGAAGCTCTATGTTTAGTAGGTCCAGAAATCTCCACACAGCTTTCCACAGTGGTTGGACCAGTTTGCACTCCCACCACAGTGCAGAAGAGTTCCTTTTTCTCCACCCCGCCCAACATTGTTGTTGCTAGTTTTTTTAATATGTGCATTCTCACTGGTGTAAGATGGTATCTCATGGTAGTTTTGATTTGCATTTCCCTGATGACAAGTGATGTTGAACATTTTTTCATATGCCTGTTGGCCATTTGCATTTCCTCTTCAGAGAAGTTTCTTTTAAGCTCTTCTGCCCATTTTTGACTGGATTATTTTCTTTGTTGTTGTTGAGTCTCATCAGCTCTTTGCAGATTTTTGTGATCAGTCCTTTATCATTAGTGTTGGGGCAAAAATGTTCTCCCAGTTGGTGGGGTTTCTCTTTGTTTGTTATTGTCTCTTTTGCTGTGCAAAAGCTCTTTAATTTGATATAGTCCCAGCTGTTTATCTTTGCCTTCACTATCACTGCTTTGGGTGATGTGTCTGTAAAGATGTCTTTGATGTGCAAATCACGTAGTGTTTCGCCTATATTTCCTTCTATATATTTTATGGTTTCAGGTCTTATGTCTAGTTCTTTAATCCATTTTGAGTTGATTTTGTGTATGGTGTGAGGTGGTGGTCAAGCTTCATTCTTTTGCATGTAGCGACCCAGTTTCCCAGCACCATTTATTGAACAAACTTTCTTGCTCAATGCATAGTCTTTGCTCCTTTGTCAAAGATTAGTTGACCAAATCTGTGGGTTATTTCTGGATTTTCTATTCGATTCCATTGGTCTGTATGTCTGTTCTTGTTCCAAACCATGCAGTTTGATGATATGGCTTTGTAGTATAGTTTGAAGTCTGGAGTCTGATGCCTCCATTCCCTTCTTTTTTTTTCAGGAGAGCTTTGGCTATTCGGGTTTTTTGTGATTCCATATGAATTTCATCAATAATTTTTCTATTTCTTTGAAGAATGACATTGAAATTTTGATTGGAATAGCATTGAATCTGTATATTGCTTTTGGAAGGATGGCCATTTTAATAATGTTTATTCTTCCAATCCATGAGCAGGGGATGTCTCTCCATTTCTTTGTGTCTTCTTCTATTTCTTTTAACAGTGTTTATAGTTTTTCTTTTATAGGTCCTTTACCTCTTTTGTTAGATTTATTCCCAAATATTTGATTTTTTTTTGTTTCAATAACAAAAGGGATGGTCTTTTCGATTTCTTCTTCTTCAGATTTATTTTGTGTATAGGAAGGCTACTGACTTTTGCGTGTTGATTTTGTATCCTGCCACTTTACTGAACTGATTGATGAGTTGAATTAGCTTTTCTGTGGAGTTTTTGGGGTTCTCTATGTATAATATCATATCGTCTGCAAATAGTGATAGTTGACTTCTTCTTTTCCTATTTGGATTCCTTGGATGTCTTTCTCTTGTCTTATTGCCCTGGCTAGGACTTCCAGTATTATATTGAAAAGCAATGGTGAGAGTGGACATCCTTGTCTTGTTCCAGATCTTAATGGAATTGCTTTCAGCTTTTCACCATTGAGAATGAACTGGCTGTTGGCTTGTCATAGATGGCCTTTATGATGTTGAGGTATGTTCCTTGTATCCCAAGAACTTCAAGGGCTTTTATCATGAATGGGTGTTGCACTTTGTCGAAAGCTTTCTCAGCATCTATTGATATTATCATATTTTTATATTTCTTTTTGTTGATGTGTTGGATAACGTTGATTGATTTTCGGATGTTAAACCATCCTTGTGCCCCTGGAATGAATCCAACTTGGTCGTGGTGAATTATCTTATGGATACATTGTTGGATTCTGATAGCTAAAATTTTATTGAGGATTTTTGCATCAGTGTTCATTAGGGAGATTGGCCTGTAGTTTCCTTTTTTGTGTTGTCCTTGTTCGGTTTTGGTATTAGTGTAATGTTGGCTTCATAGAACGTGTTTGGTATTGTCCCTTCCTTCTCAATTTTTTGGAAGAGTTTGTGAAGGATAGGCACTAATTCGTCTCTGAATGTTTGGTAGAATTCATTTGTAAATCCATCAGGTCCTGGGCTTTTGTTTTGGGGAGGTTTTGATTACCATTTCAATTTCGCTAATTGTAATTGGTCTGTTTAGGTGTTCTATTTCTTCTTTATCTAGCTTTGGGTGATTGTAGAGTTGTAGGAATTGTCCATCTCCTCTAGATTGTTAAACTTGTTTCCATATAACTGTTCATATAGTAGTTACTGATTATTCTTTTGATTTCTGCTGTGTCCGTTGTGATTTCTCCTCTTTCATTGATGATCCTGTTTATTTGTGCTTTCTCCCTTTTTTCCTTTGTGAGCCTGGCTAGGGGTTGTCTATTTTATTGATTTTTTCAAAGAACCAGCTCTTGGTTTCATTGATCTTTTGGATTGTTTTTTATTTTCATTTCATTTATTTCTGCTTTGTTTTTATTATTTCTTTTCTTCTACTGGTTTGGGGGTTTTCTTTTGTTCTTTTCTAGATCTTTGAGCTTCGAGATTAGGTTGTTTCTTTGCGTTCTTTCTTGTTTCTTGATGTGAGCTTCTATTGCTATATATTTTCCTCTTATTACTGCTTTGCTGCATCCCATACATTTAGGATATTGGTGTCCTCCTTGTCGTTCAATTCAAAAAATTTTTAATTTCTTCTTTGATCTCCTCATTAGTCCAATGGTCTTCCAGTAGTGGGTTTTAATCTCCATGAGGTAGGAAAGTTCTTGCCTTCTTTTTATGGTTTATTTCTAGTTTGATGCCTTCATGGTCAGAAAAGATGGTTGATATGATTTCAATCTGGTGTATCTGTTGATGTTTGTCTTGTGCCCAGTATGTGATCGATCCTGGAGAATGATCCGTGTGCGCTTGAGAAAAATGTGTACTCCGTTTTTTTGGGGTTTAGTGTTCTATAGATGTCTGTTAAGCCCAATTGCTCTAGGTCTTTATTTAGAGCTTTGGTTTCTTTACTTATTTTTTGTCTTGTTGATCTATCCATTGTTGATAGTGGTGTGTTGAAGTCTCCCACTACGTATGTGTTTTCTCTGATGTCTGTTTTCAGAGAGGACAACAGTTGTCTGATATTTTGGTGCTCCTTCGTTTGGTGAGTATATGTTAATGAGTTTATTTCTTCTTGAAGTATTGTCCCTTGATCATAATGTAGTGACCATTGGGGTCTCTTTTTATCTTTTTGAGTTTGAAATCTGTTTTATCTGATATAAGTATAGCTGTTCCTGCTTTCTTTTTGGTCCATTTGCTTGTAGGATTGTTTTCCATCCTTTAACTTTGAGCCTATTTTTATCTTTTGTAGCTAAATGTGTTTCCTGGAGACAGCAAAAGGTTGGGTTTTGTTTCTTAATCCAGGCTGCAACTCTGTGTCTTTTATTGAAGAGTTTAGTCCATTTACATTTAGAGTTAATATTGATATGTTAACATCTGTATTTGCCATTGTGTTTGTCTTTCCTTTGATTTTATTTATTTATTCTTTTAATAACTTTTTTTTTTTTTTTTGGCCTTCTTTCATTGTTCCGTCGCTCTGAGGTTCTGGCTTTAGAACTCCTTGTAGTATTTTTGGAGGGGGTTTAGTTGCAATGAAATTCCGGAGTTTCTGTTTGTCTGGGAAGGTCCATATTCTTTCTTCAAAGAGGAAGGAGAGCTTTGCGGGATAGAGTATTCTTGGTTGCATCTGTTTTCTTGGAGTCTGTTGACTATGTCCCTCCACTCTCTCCTTGCCCGTAGTGTTTCTTCGGAGAAGTCTGATGTCAGCCTGATTGTTTTCCTTTGAATGTTATCTGTTTCTTCCCTCTTGCCAGCTTCATTATTTTTTCCTTGTCCTGGATTCTGGGAGCTTTACTATTATGTGTCTTGCTGTATTTTTCCTTTCGTCGTGGAAGTTTGGTGTTCTTCTTGCTTCTTGTATATCAATTTTCAGCTCCTTCTTCACATTGGGAAGTCTCTTCAATTATCTCTTTGAATATTTTCTCTTCCTACATCTCTCTCCCTCCTTCTGGTATTCCTATAACTCTTATATTTCCTTTCCTCATGGAGTCCGATAGTTCCCGAAGTCTTTCTTCGTTCTTTTTCCTTCGTACTTCTCTTTCCTTCTCTGTTTTTCTTTTTATTTCTGTGTCTTCAAGATTACTTATTCGTTCTTCCATTTCATCTATTCTGCTTTCATTGCTTTCCCAGAATTCTTTAGTTCTTCCATTAATTCTTTGATCTCCTGCATTTCTTTTACTTCCCTCTTTAGGGACTCAATTTCTTTCTTCTGACCATTGTTTTCCCTCTCTAGGGACTCAATTGCATTCTTCTGATCGTTGATTATTTTTCCCTTATCATTGTTTTCCTTTATGACTTCTGTCAGTTTTTTAATCACAGCAATTTTAAATTCTCTTTCTGGAAGGCTCAGAAATTCTTCCAAGTTATTGTCGTTGCAATCTGGGGGCTGGCTTCTTTGTGGTGTGCTTTTTCTCTGGAGAGTTGCTAGGTTGCGTGTGGTTCTTCTCCTCCCTACTGTCTGTTTTTCTAATTTGCCGTATGCGTTGGGACACTGTGTTGTTGGGACTTGCCGGCATCTTGGGTGGGCTTCTCTGTTCCCCTCTGGTTCTTCCAGGAGTCATCTGTCAGTTTCAAGCAGCCTTTACTGGAGAAAGGTCCCTGTTCTAAATGCCGATGTGGGGACACACTCCCCTGTGCGCCTGGTCTGCCCCGGCGGTGGGTTCCTGCTCCCCTCTGGGCTTGGACTGCAGGCCAGAGGGGTCTGGCGTGGGCGAACTTCCCCCGCTCACCTCTGGCTCCTGAGAAGCCTTCTGCAGGTAGTCTTTACTGAAGAAATGTCCCTGTTCTAAAATGGTGATGTGGGACACACTCCCTGCGCTTCTGGTCTCAGGCACACTATTCTGCGCGCCTGGTCTGCCCCGGCTGTGGGTGCTCGCTCTCCCTGTGGGCTCAGACTACTTGTTCAGAAGGGGCCTGGTGTGGGCTAACTCCCCAGCTGGCCACTAGCTCCTTCAGTAGCCTGTGCTGGGGTCAAGTCGCTAGGTGGCACCAGAGATCTCTCCTAGAGCCCTTGGGGAGCTGATTTTCCACCCCGTGGGACAGGGAGCAGAGCGGGGATGGTAGGGCACACCTCAACGGCTTTGGGGTGCTGTGTCTGCCTTGTCCCACCGTCGTGGGGAACCCACGCCCCCTAATTTCGTCGTGCCCGGGTCTCAGTTCCAAAGCCCTCAGTTCCAGGACGCGGGCTGTAGCCCAGATCAGTGGCGCGGGAATGGCGCCTTTGAATCCCGCTCCCCTGCCTGGGCGCCTTGTTCCTGCTCACTCAGGGAGGCCTCCGCCCGGGTCTCAGTTCCAAAGCCCTCAGTTCCAGGACGCGGGCTGTAGCCCAGATCAGTGGCGTGGGGAATGGCGCCTTTTGAATCCCGCTCCCCTGCCTGGGCGCCTTGTTCTGCTCACTCAGGGAGGGCCTCCGCCCGGTCTCAGTTCCAAAGCCCTCAGTTCCAGGACGCGGGCTGTAGCCCAGATCAGTGGCGCGGGAATGGCGCCTTTTGAATCCCGCTCCCCTGCCTGGGCACCTTGTTCCTGCTCACTCAGGGAGGGCCTCCGCCGTCTCCCCGCAAGCCTAGGTCGCAGGCGCAGGGCCCTGGGCAGCTGCAATCAGAGCGCCGCTTTTGCGCAAGCTTACCGGGCGGCTGGGGCTGTGTGCTGGTGCTGGGCTCCTCCTGGGGGGGCGGGCTCTCTTTACTGGCGCCTGGAGCTCACCTCCGCGGCGGATCCTGCAGGGTTCGCCTCAGCTCCCGTTCACGGGGTGTGGTGGCTGAAATAGTTCCTTTCCACTCACAGTCCCACTTGCTGCATCCGTTTTTCTTGTTGGGCGTTTTGGTTTGTTGTTTCCCTCGTCTCTGCCGGTCGGAGAGTGCCGCCTCTGTGGGCGGGGGAGGGGAGCAGGGTTCTGCGCTTCCCTCCCTTCTCGTCCTCTTTTATGGCAACTTTCTTCTTCGGGCAGTTTGCTGGAGTCGTCCATTTATCTTCCCTGTCTCAGTTCTCACTGGGACCTGCCGCTTTTCCTCCCTATTAACTTTTTTTAATGGGAGATCTTACTCGCAGCGTCTCCTCGCCGCCATGTTGCTCCGCCCCTTTCCTCCTAAAATAATATATTTTTGATAATAAAATTTTATTCCCTCCGGAGTCTTCATGAAATCATAGTCATGCTTCCCCAGAGAAACTTTTATGCTTCAAAACAAATAATTTCACATAGTAGACCTATTTTAATCAAGGTAGAATTATTTCATTGATACAGTAACATACTCAGAAGAAATGCCAGAATGTCAGTATATCTCAGCATATCAGTCTAAGAAAACAAGCTTCACCATAGAGTGCACATCTGACTCCAGTTGCTCAGATCTCTTCGTTGGCATTTTGTTGAAATAACTTGTTTTTCCCTTTTTTTTCACTTTTTAAAAAATCATAAAATACATGTAAGATTTACCACTCAATCGTTTTTATGTGGAGCAAGCAATAATGTCAAATGCACTCCCAGTCCTGTTATTATGTTTTTTTTTTTTTTTTTTTTTTATAAAATTTTATTGTTATATTCCCCATACAATTGCCGCCCCCATTCTGACCCAATCCCTCCCTCCCGCCCCCGGCCCCTAAAAGTGTCTCTGGTTCATAGTTTTTTGTTGATTTTGATTTTCACTTTCTTATAGTTTTTCATTTTCCTGGTCCATTATTTAAGTTTTCTAGATTCCTGCTATGAGTGAGACCATCCGGTATTTTTCTTTTTCTTTTTGGCTTATTTCGCTGAGCATGATCCCTTCCAGCGCCATCCATGTTGCAGCAAATTGCATGTGTTTATCTTTTTTGAATGCTGAGTAATATTCCATGGTATATATGTACCACATCTTCTTGATCCAGTCATCTATTTTTGGGCATTTGGGTTGTTTCCAAAGCTTAGCTATTGTAAACAGTGCTGCTATAAACATAGGGGTGCAGGTGTTCTTTGGAGTTGATGTTTCTGTGTCCTTTGGGTAAATACCTAGGAGTGGAATTGCTGGGTCATATGGAAGCTCTATGTTTAGTAGGTCCAGAAATCTCCACACAGCTTTCCACAGTGGTTGGACCAGTTTGCACTCCCACCAACAGTGCAGAAGAGTTCCTTTTTCTCCACACCCTCGCCAACATTTGTTGTTGCTAGTTTTTTTAATATGTGCCATTCTCACTGGTGTAAGATGGTATCTCATGATTTGCATTTGATTTGCATTTCCCTGATGACAAGTGATGTTGAACATTTTTTCATATGCCTGTTGGCCATTTGCATTTCCTCTTCAGAGAAGTTTCTTTTAAGCTCTTCTGCCCATTTTTTGACTGGATTATTTTCTTTGTTGTTGTTGAGTCTCATCAGCTCTTTGCAGATTTTTGTGATCAGTCCTTTATCATTAGTGTTGGGTGCAAAAATGTTCTCCCAGTTGGTGGGGTTTCTCTTTGTTTTTGTTATTGTCTCTTTTGCTGTGCAAAAGCTCTTTAATTTGATATAGTCCCAGCTGTTTATCTTTGCCTTCACTATCACTGCTTTGGGTGATGTGTCTGTAAAGATGTCTTTGATGTGCAAATCACGTAGTGTTTCGCCTATATTTCCTTCTATATATTTTATGGTTTCAGGTCTTATATCTAGTTCTTTAATCCATTTTGAGTTGATTTTTGTGTATGGTGTGAGGTGGTGGTCAAGCTTCATTCTTTTGCATGTAGCGACCCAGTTTTCCCAGCACCATTTATTGAACAAACTTTCCTTGCTCCAATGCATAGTCTTTGCTCCTTTGTCAAAGATTAGTTGACCATAAATCTGTGGGTTTATTTCTGGATTTTCTATTCGATTCCATTGGTCTGTATGTCTGTTCTTGTTCCAATACCATGCAGTTTTGATGATTATGGCTTTGTAGTATAGTTTGAAGTCTGGGAGTCTGATGCCTCCATTCCCTTCTTTTTTTTTCAGGAGAGCTTTGGCTATTCGGGGTTTTTTGTGATTCCATATGAATTTCATCAATAATTTTTCTATTTCTTTGAAGAATGACATTGAAATTTTGATTGGAATAGCATTGAATCTGTATATTGCTTTTGGAAGGATGGCCATTTTAATAATGTTTATTCTTCCAATCCATGAGCAGGGGATGTCTCTCCATTTCTTTGTGTCTTCTTCTATTTCTTTTAACAGTGTTTTATAGTTTTCTTTGTATAGGTCCTTTACCTCTTTTGTTAGATTTATTCCCAAATATTTGATTTTTTTTGTTTCAATAACAAAAGGGATGGTCTTTTCGATTTCTTCTTCTTCAGATTTATTGTTTGTGTATAGGAAGGCTACTGACTTTTGCGTGTTGATTTTGTATCCTGCCACTTTACTGAACTGATTGATGAGTTGAATTAGCTTTTCTGTGGAGTTTTTGGGGTTCTCTATGTATAATATCATATCGTCTGCAAATAGTGATAGTTTGACTTCTTCTTTTCCTATTTGGATTCCTTGGATGTCTTTCTCTTGTCTTATTGCCCTGGCTAGGCCAGTCCTGTTATTATGTAAGTGTTGCTGTCATCCTTCCCCAGAATGTTTTTCATCTTGCAAAACTGAAACTCTCTAAATTAAATATTAACTCCACTCTCCCCCTTCCCTGCTAACTGCCATTTTACTTTTTGTCTCTCTGTATTTAACCAGCTAGGTACTTAACATAAACTTCAGCACGTGGCACTTACCCTTTTGTGCTTGGTTGTTTCACACAGCACTGCATCCTCAGGATTTTTGTCCATGTTGTAGCATATATCAGAATGTCCTTCCTTTTTAAAGCTGAATATATATTGTGTATACGTATATGTCACATTTTGTTTATCCTTTCATCTGTCAACAGACACTTGGGGTCAGTATTGTTGTGAATAACACCTCTATGCACAGCCAGCTTCTTAAAATACAGTGGAGACATATATGCATTTAACATATGCATGCCTGCTGGGTAGGCAATAAAAAAAAAGGTAGATTTAAGTAGCTCAGGTGATCCTTCTACCATTCCTTGGGTAGCTACTTCATATAACTTGTCTACTATAATCTTTACCACAACCTTGAGAATGAATGGATCATTCCATTGCATCAACAAAATGAAATACCTGTTAGGGTAATTAACATGCAAGTTCATGGCTCAAACTCCCCCCTGGGTATGTAACTTCATACCCATTAACTCCATCGCCTGTAACTTCTTAAATATCATGTGTTCTACTGCCCTGGCCAGAAGGAAAGCAGTCATACATTAGCAGCAGCAATGGCTGTTTAAACAGTGGCAGTAAATGAAGGGGTACAGATGTCCTGCACAGAAGTAGTAAATGAAGTGGTAGGAAGAAAAAAAAAAAACTGAAGGGACATAAAAGTGAGTTCTATGGAAATTTATATTGGACCAGGGCCCTACTGAGTGCAACGTGTGGAGGGAGTCTTTAAGAAAGCCAGTGGGCTCAGTACACACAAACTGGTGGAGATTTCTAGCAACTATATTCCAACCGCTTGGGTCATCGTGTTAGATAGAGGTCACCCCTCCAGTTGCCAGGGCTGGCTGTCCCCTTCCTTTCTCAGCCTATTCCGAGTGATCTTTCTGTCCAAGTGGACTTGCTGCAGAGGGGGACACTCTTTGTCACCTAAACATGAGTACACTAGTTTTGCAGTATGACAACTTCAGAAGCCTCAAGCCTGAATTTATGGTTCAGTCCCAGGTCATAAAAATCTAGATCATGAAAAAGAAATCTTGATGTGGGAGTTTCTTGTGCCTGTCAGCAAAGTATGATAAAACCCAAGGGAGTCCAAGAAGCTGGTGTGCCTTTGAGTTGCTGTTCCAGAAGCACCCATGACCTGTATGTACAGGTGAGCTCGCAAGGCTTCGCTGAGAATGAAGCCAGCACTGTCCACTGAGAATGAAACCTCCTGTGTGTCAGTGGCCTGCACCTTAGAGAAAGGCAGCAGCAGTCCTTCAGCCTGAGCTCCAAATGCAAGTGCCCTGGCTGGTTGTTGGCTTTTATTTTTCAAGGACTTGCTAATAGGATCCGTCTTATGAACCTAGTATTCTGTTAATACATTTAACAGGGTCTCTGAGTGGGGCCAGGGGTGTAGGGATGGGAAGTAGGGTGTACTATAGCAGAAATCAGGACATTTTTATCCTTATCCTATCTCTGGTCTTGGGCAATGTCACTTGGTCTCTCCAAGCTAGTGTCCTTCATGTCCCCCATTGCATCTTCAGCTCTCAAAGTCTATGACATGGGATGCTCTCACAAACCCCAGAGGCAGGTTTCCCGGGTGAGAACGCAGCTGCTGGATGTGAGGCAAGTGGGACGTGAAGTGTGGGCAGGGTGGGTGTGTCCAGAGGCATACTCAGGCTGGGGGTAGGCTGCGTGTGTGGATGTGTGTGGGTGTCTCTGGCCAGCTGCCTTCCCCCTTGGCTTTGACTGCTATAGTGCAGGTTCACTCAGGACTGACTTCTCTTTATGTGCTAGATGCGTCTTCTCATGACTGCTTCCTTCTCAGATAGCTCCTCTGCCTCCCTTCACGGGCAGGACTTCCTTGCCTTCCACAGTCTGTAAGTTACTGTCAGGAAGCGCCTTTGGTTTTCCCACAGTTATCCGTGTCCGTCATCCTCCGCAGAAGAACTTCCTTCTACCTAGCAGAACCCGTGACTTTCTGGATACTTTTGGGTATTAGAACTATTACTAAGGGTCCAAGGCTGTCCACAACCAAATGTCAGTTTTTCCAATTTACAGGCTTTTCCCCTTTCCTCCAGCCCAAGTTTGGTGAGCACATGGGGACTAGCAAGTGTGTATTTCTTTTTTTCTGGATTGTTTCTTTTTTCTCTTACTGAGACCTGGATATGAATAGTCCTTGCAGCTTTCTTCATGGTAGCCCCAAGTTGACAAATAATCCATTAACATGTGCATGAATGAACAAATTGTGGTGCTGTCCTATGATGGAATAATGCTCAGCAGTAAAAAGGAATGAGCTGTTAATATACCAAACAACAGTGATGCCTCTCAAAATAACTATGCTCAGTGAAAGACAGAAGGGAGTACATAGTGTTTGGTTCCATTTATATCACACAGTCCAGAAAATGCAAACTAGCCTATAAAGCAGACTGGTCTAAATCAGTCAGTGGTTGTTTGGGGATGAGAGGGAGGGTCTGTGAAGGGGCAGGAGGAAACTCGGGGATGATCACACGGAACATTGGGACTAACCTTCTACCGGTGCCTCCCTTCTGAGCAATAACAAAGATCTCCTGTTACTTCCCTTTGGTTATTCATGGTGGGTTAGTTCCTCTAGTGACCATGCAGAGAGGAGAAGCTGGAGAAGGAGAATAGGATTTGTGCTCATCCAGAGGTGTTTATTGATCCCTTTGGGCTGATAATAGTCAGGGCATGTCAGGACATAGCTCCCTTTTGGCATCTTTTGTCGTGAGATCCCCTCAATTCTGGGAACCTCTGTACTACATTGTTCCCTGATGCGGGTCATAAACACTCTGGCTGACCTTTAGCATTGTTCCCGGAAGCTTCTGCTCCCATCAGGATTCCCTTGAGATTCTGGCTTCTCTGCTACTCTGCCTCCATCCCTGCTGTAAATAGATGCACCTTTGAGGTTGACTTGAGGCCAGCTACCTTCTGGAGCCTATAGGCCCAGGGGAATCCACACCTTGTTCTCTCCATCCTCGACATGCAATGCAGTGTGCACCACTGCCCCTCTCCCCAGCCAGCCTCCTGCCCTCGGTTCCCCAAGCTGCCGGGATCATAGGAACCACACAACTGCCACTGGGGGGGTAACATGAAATAGCTGACATTTGGCTTGAAAGGGCAGTGAGACAGCCATAGTGAGTCACCTGCTATTTAATATAGACTGTGAGGCTTTAGTTGAAGGGCAAGATTGTGGGAGGTTAGAAGGTGTCAGGTATTAGAAGGTTGTACTGTATATCTAAAAAAAAATTTCTAAGTGGTTTGTAGAGCATTAAAATAACACACACAAAGCAAGCATTTTGAAATACTTTTCCCAGCAGAGGGTGCTATAGCATGTAGATTCTGAAAATATATCAAGTTTCTTTAGAAAGTGTTGGAAAAATGCCCAGTCTCTGATTATCTAAATACTTCCTACATTGAGAACCTAATTTTATAATACTTAATTCTTGGGGGAAAGTTTTTTCTTAAATACAGGTAATCCTAATATTTTTATCTATTATCTCCAGTTGCCATTCTTGCATACTTGCTTGTAATTACTAGTAATCAAGATATTTGTATACACTTTTATATATCTTACACATACATGAACATGTAGACTCTTGCCTGATGCCGACTCACCGAGGGTTTTCGGTGAATGTTAATGTCCTTACTCTGCCCCTGACAAATAATCCATTAGCAAGTGCACGAATGAACAAATTGCAGTGCATCCCTATGGTGGAATACTGCCATACCCCAGAAGACCCTTCTGGGCTCGCCTTATAGAGCATACATTGGATGTTTTTGACTTGAGCAGTAATTGTCCAGCACCCTCTACCTGAGCAGCACAGGTCATGCATTTATTCCTCCAATACTTAGTAAGCCCTTCCCTTCACTCCCCACTGTTGAGTGCCAGGCAGACTCAGAGCTGAGATAGGCAGACTTAGACCCTTATGGAAGGTGTTTGTCATAGTAACCTATTCTGTGTTAGTATTTGTAAGTAATAAAAAGAAGTTCAGGGTCTCAGGACAATCTCTGCCATATTTGGTGTGTTTCTCACTTTGAAGATACCTTTGTCAACTTTAACTTCAGTGATTGAGCCTGAGGCTGCCAGCATGTATTCTTGGTGACTCCTCATGCCTTGTGCTGTGTTGGGGAGCCCTCACTTTCCACTAGCTCCTGGACACTGATCCCTTCTCTTCATGACAGGAATGACCAATGGTTGTCCTTGTTTCTGTCCCAGGTGGATTCCTAAGTGGACTGTGTGTGCTCGAGACTCACAGCGTCCTCTTTCCTCAGCATGGCATGAAGTGCTAGTGTCCTTCATGCTGATAGGTAGTGCACACAAAGTCCTAGCTGCGTGCTGCAGAAGGCAGAAATGTAGGAAGCCAAACTAAAGATTGAATGTGAGTAAATCTGGAAGCTCAGCTGTTTTGTGCACATAAAATAGCTCCTGACTGGACAGAGACGGGTGTTGTGGTGTTGCATTTGCTCATCCATCACTTTTTCTCACCTGATCTCTCTTAACGCTCAGTAAGGGAGCAAAGAAAACAAATGGTAGATTCTTGCCCGAGAAACAACTGGGTTGATAAGAAACATCAGTGGCTTTATCATGTCAAGACCTACATTATATGTTTTATTTTGAATAGTTTTTCTTTTCCTAGAATTTCCCATTTTACCTGTTTCTGGCAGACTGCAACATCAGGTAGTAGTGTTCAGGTTGATTTCCTGTTTTTCCCCTTTACTGTAACATCTCCCTGTATTAGGAAAGCTGGGTAATCCTACTCCCTGTTGGATATGTTGATATTAATGCACGCCACTTGTGCATTCCATACAGTCTGTTACTGATGCAGTCTCATGTTTCATTCCAAATCCATAGTGAGTCCCATAAATGAAAAGCTATCATTAGAGGTGATTGGTGTGACATTTAAAGTTTTCCTAGGTTAAGTTTTATTTATTTTTTATTGTTTTATTTTTAAAGATTTATTTATTTATTTATACAAGCACTGGGTACAGTCAGAAGCATGGAAGGGTAAGAGAATTCACCAGAGCAGGGAACAGAACAGGCAGACTGATGAAGTACACTGCTGAGGAGAGCAGTAGGCGCGGCAGGAGAGGTCTGTGCGGCAGGAGAGGTCTGTGCGCCATGTGGGACCCTCGCCAGTGGCCAGGGATAAAACCAGCGCTGCAGAGGCTGTGGATAGCCTCGCAACCCAGCACTCAACCGCTGTGCCACTGGGAAGGCCCCTTAGGTTAAGTTTTAGAAACGTATTTAACATTATTACAAAAAAGGAACTATTGTGAAAGAAATTAGAGTCTCTGAAATAAAATTGATAGTTTCCTGCTCTGAGAAGAACCTGATTAACTCACAAAGCTGTTAAAATCCACTTTCATTCGTTTTGTTAATTTCTCAGACTGTTTTAAATCTCACTGCTTTTTAGTATACTTTTTTATACACAACCCTTTTGTCATCATGTGTAACAAAAGTTACTTTGGAAAAGTACATGTGTATTCACATTATGAAAAAAACTCTACCTTCTCGTTGGATACTATGTGGAAAAAATAATAGATATTAAATTTCATGTCTACAAGAAGACTTGGTCATTAACACAAGACCATGTAACTATGGAGTTCAATGACTCGCATAAAATATCATGAGAGTTTTTCTTTGAAAAGATATATTTTGTGAAAGTCCATAGTCTATCCATATCTTTGTAAATATCAGTTATTTTGTATGCCATCATTTTGAAAGACAACTTTGTAGACAGTTAAATGAGAGTTTGAAACATTAGTAAGTGATCTTCTGTTAACATGAGATGCATGGAGAAAAACTGCTTTGTTCAGATCAGTAGGAAGGCCCAGCTGTTCTTATTATATAGCTCTGATATTTAAAATAGCCAAGCTCATCAACTTAAAAAGTTTTACAATGCCAATAATAATAAAATAAGTTTATTGTTTAAGATAAAATGCAAAGATTCCATTCTCAGAAACTGCTGTTTTTGAATGCTAGTTCTACTTCACACTTCTTAATATAGATTCTTAGTTTTTTTAAAGCCTCAGATGACCCACTGGTTGAGCTGGTGACCTCCGTGAACAGGGGGCAGCCTGATACAGCCCCTGTCTGAATGCATCACTGTTTTAGATCCATGAGACAGTCACTGAAGATAATTCATAAAAACATACTAATTGGGCAAGAATCCCATGACGTGTGCTCTCGTTGCTGGTTCTGTCTCGGAATTCTGTCATGTGATGTCTCTTGGGCTTGTCGAGGCCTTTCCCTGAATATACTAAATTGTATGGATTATGCGTTGATTGAACCCGCATATGTGAACCTGATAGAATCCAGGTAGTAGAAAAAGTACTCCATCTTTCAAGGGTTTCCTTGATGACATTACTATCGCAGTGTAGCTTAACACTACCATTTGCACAATTAAAATTTCTTAGTGAATTAACGTCTTAAGTGGAAGCATGAAGTCCATACTTTTGGTAATTGAATATGGAAGCCTTTATCAGGTGCCCCAATCAAAAGAGGAAAACAACACTTAACAGGTCCTCCTGTTAGCAGAAACTGTGCCAGGATGAGAGAGCACACTGATTAGAAGGGAATACTTCTTTTCCCATTTTCTGACTCCCTCAGGGATTTTTGGAGACTAGACATAACGGAGGTTGGGGGTTTCGCTGGCTGGTTCGTAGCCCTAACCTGACTTTCTAAGTGAGTACCTTACACACAGATAGGTCATCTGGTTCTCCATCAAGTGACAGTTGTTTCAGGTCTAGTGGGTACAGAATCTGAGCAGGGAGAGGTACACTGTTCCCCAGGCCGCTCAGGAGACAGAGTGGAAGAATCCAGTCACCATGGGCTGTGCTAGTCTACACGCTTTGTATTTAGGGGTGTTTTGAGGCCTTGTATGCTGTGATAGGTCAGGTTCGCTGGGAAGCAAGCCGTGGACATTTGGTGCTGGGGAGGAAAGGCAGCAGGGGGAGAAGTAAATTGTGATGAAGTCACAGAGGCCTCTGCCAGTCTTCTGGGAACACTCTAGCTGGGTTAGTGCTTTAGCAGTTTCCTAACTGGGGGATGTGAGAACCGGGCCTTTTATACCCACATTAATCAGTCATTGCATGTGGGATGAACTGATGTGTGGCCTTATGGGAGGTGACCCTCTTCATCTTGAGGATCAGGCCAGGAAGCTGTCTGTTCCCAACACCCAGCACCCGAGAGGCTGAGTGCTGCAGCAGATGACAGCATCCACTCCACTGCTGTCCAGCGCGAAGAACACTTAAGAATAAATATATTTAGCCCAAGTATATGTTAGACATAGCTCTCTGAACCAGCTGTCTATACCAGCATAGCAGTTACAAGAACCAAAAAAAAAAAAAAAATTCAAGCAACAATTTTACTTCAGGAAAAAAACAACCTTCTCAGATCTCAGTCTTCACAGATCTTCTCCATGTTATAGATGTTCAGCTCTGCACTTCCAGTATACTTGGTGCTGTTAACATTCTACAGTATTGTTTGATCTGCATGGTTGTCTTGTCTCTCCCACCTGCACATGAGCCCTTGAGTCCCTGTCCTGTTGATTGTGTGTTCCCGAACCTAGTTCAAACAGTCTCTCAGTAAATGCTGGTTGAGTTGGTAGCCTCACCTCTGACTCCCTCAAATAATGGACAGCTGTGTTTGATGGCATATGTCTAATATTGTCTTTGGCTAAGGAGGTAAAAATTGGCACTTTGAATCTTCTGTTAAAACCACTCACTTTAGGCTTTGTTTTTTT